ATATGCAGATGGGTCCGGATATTGATAAATTCTGGCTGGATAATTCCCTGCAGATCTCCGCCGATGAACAGGTTGGTTTTCTGAAACGCCTTTATTTTGAACAGCTGCCTTTTACCCTGCGTACCCAGACCATTGTCAGGAGTATGATGCTCCGGGAAGATACAGCTAATAACAAGCTCTACTACAAAACCGGATGGGGCACTACCCCAACGGGCACCGATGTGCTTTGGGTCGTAGGTTTCCTGGAACATAGTGAGGAGTTTAAGGAACATGCCAATTCGATGAACAAAAGTGATGTCCGCAATTACCCCTACATCTTTGCGCTCAACTTTGAAATACCCAAGGGCGACCAGTCGCAGAACTGGGCAGAGGTGCGTCTCCGGTTATTACGTGAGCTGCTCACTAATTTTGGTGCGTTTAAAACAACCTGATCTTATACTTGCCTGATAAAAGAAGAGCTATCTGCCGTATCCGTTTTTACAGATCTGGCAGATAGCTCTTCTTCTTGTTGACAACTGGTCTTAAAAAAGCTGCTTCAATACATTGTTCACAATATGAGGCTTGCCCAGTGTATAGAAATGTAGTACAGGCACCTTGTTTTTCAATAAGTCACGGCACTGGCTCAGCAGCCATTCTTCACCGATCTGCTCGCAGGCGGCTTCTGTTTTTGCGCTCTGCAGTGCACGGGACAGGTCTATCGGGATCTCTACATTAAACGTGCTGGGGATCACAGAAAGCTGCCGGCGCCCGGTGATTGGCTTCAGCCCCGGAATGATCGGAGCGGTCACACCGCTTTCGCGGCAGGATGCGGTATAATCGTAAAAATGTTTGTTGTTAAAGAACATCTGGGTAGTGATATAGTCTGCCCCAAGCTCGATCTTATGCTTCAGGTGATCAATATCGGTCTGAAGGTTCGGTGCTTCAAAATGCTTTTCAGGATAGCCGGCCACGCCGATGCAAAAATCCGTCTTTACCCCATCAATAATATCATCTTCCTGGTATTTCCCTTTGTTTAGCTGGAGGATCTGTTCTACCAGGTCCGCTGCATAATGATGCCCTTTGGGATGTGGGAGAAATGTTTTTTCATTAGCCGCAGCATCCCCTCTTAACGCGAGTACATTATCCACGCCGAGGAAGTGAAGATCTATCAATGCATTCTCGGTTTCTTCCTTACTAAAGCCCCCGCAGATAAGATGCGGCACTGCA